GCTTTTGGTGAGTAGCTTTATTTGAGAAAAGCTGATTTGGAGTATTTTCACCAATATTTTTCTTTTCTGGAGAAGCTATCTTGGAGAGGGGATGTATTAGAAATTAAATAGGGCTTTATCCATGCTAGGGAAGCATTCTATTGCTGAGTTATGCCCTTTTATAAAATTCTGGCATACGGTCTTGCTAATTTGCTCAGGCTAGCCTGGGACTTGCCATTCCCCTGCCTCAGAATTTAGAGTAACTAGGATACCAGGTATGTTTCATCATGAGTGCCTGRAAAAGCTAAATTTTGGAGGTCCTTAATCCTCTTTCTTCTTTGTTTCTTCAAATAGATTTTCATAATGTCCTTTAATTTCTTACTCCTCTCCAACACATTTTGAGACATTGAGCCATCTTTTATCCTTCTGTCTTCCAGTTTTGTATGTATTTATTTAAATTCTCCACATTATRCAGAGTCAAACATAAATATTTCCTTATGATTAGATATCTGAGATAATATTCTTTCTCTACATCTCTTTATTTTTTCCAACTATTACAAATGACAATTATATAATAAAATGTCTGGAATAAGAGCACCTGAGGTTGATATTTTAATGATTAATTAATTATTTAGAAACTAATTGAAATTCTAGTTTTGAAAGTTAGATTTCAGGCTAGAGGGACTTTAGTGAGAATGAGTAAAAGTGATAAATGCAATAAAATATGAAAAATGATGGTTCATACCATTTGTGATATAAATTTGGTTATCTAGACTTGTATGCACTGATCTCTAAAACTTTGAGAAAACTATCATGATAAGATTTTACAGTCATGGACTATCACTGCTTAATTTAACAGCAAGACCTCTGTCTGTCCCCTTCCATGCTTTTCAATAAATAGKTATCAGCAGAAGCTGAATTTCAGTATATTCACCGTATAAATCAACCTGATCACACTCTTAATAGAGAAGTCAGATGATGTATCCCAGATGCATAGAGAAATTTTTAAAATGCTAATAAAGTGAACTAAGAAATACACTACGAGAATTTTCAGTGGACACATAATCAAATTTGGTCAGTTGGTTAATAGATATTAATTTAAGCAACTCCCCCCCGCCCATTTTTAAATTTCTTCATGGTTCTTTTACAGATGTGCATTTTAGAGCCCATGTCTTACAATTTGTATACCTTTATAAAATAAATAAATAAATAAATAAATAAATAAATAAATAAAAGCAATTTTTCTTCTCTCCAATATGTGGATTTTAACAGAAAACAAGGAAGAAGGGGAAAAACAGATCAGTAGATTGGACAAAGGGGAATGAAGGGAATGGAAGGGGGACAGGAAATAGGAAAAAATAATGGGATGAAAACAACTTAACTCTGCTCTTTTGATATGTACATATATCAGTACACCACAGTGAATCTCCACATCCCGTAAAATCACAAGACTGAGATCCTAATTATAATAAGACATACTCTAGGTTTGTATAAAATATACTCTACTGTCATGTACAACTAAAAAAAAGGAATTAAAAAATCTTTTGAATTTTTCTTTAATTTCTACATGATGTTTTTCCTGGTCATGGACTATTTCCTCAAGTGGTTTATAATTTGTTTGCAGACCTGTTGTTCCATGAGAGTAGTTTCAGTTGAAGCTCATGTATTCTGGACTGAAGGAGAGTCCCCACAGTACTGGTGCTCAGTACTGYCTTTTAATGGTCAGCAGTGACTTTGTTTAGTTCCTTTTATGTTTTGTTTTATTTTAACTTAACATAGGTTGTGGTAAAGGCCACCTGCTGAGCATACATTCAAAACCAAATCTCATAGAAAGCAGAGGAATATTGGTTCATCTTGCATTCATTTTTTTTTCCCTATTTGGTACTTATAACAGAATCTCAGGATTGTAAAGGAACTTTTCATTGCACATCTCTTTATAGCAATTATTGTAACATTTTGTATTACTTAATCAAAAGCTATGTATAGGCATATACACAGATATGTGCATATTTATATATAAGCTAACTTTTAGAAATTCATATGAAAATTGTTAGGAAAAACTTTGTAATGAAAGCCACYCAATGTGCTAATTCCAAGGCAAAAGCTCTGTTTGAAGACTAAATCTGGATCAGAAATAGGATTATACATTTTTTTAATCCCAATTCTTTAGGTGGTTCACATTTCATTAAGCAAGGAATATACCCCACTCTCCCAAATATTGTTATCACATTTTTGCAGGTGAGGTTTTCCTGTCATGAATATATATGAATGTCGAACTATAAACTAATTTTACTTCCCMAAATTCTTCATTTATACAGTGGAAAGTAGTGAATAAAAAATCCATTTAACTTTTCTTTGGGCGTTTTAACATGCCAAAAATAATTCATTATGATTTTTTCAAAATTGTGAGATGCTAAGGTTAAAGATTAAATTTCAGTATAATTAATAATATTAAAATAAAAACAAACTTTRTTAAGCCTGCTCTTACTTATAGAATATAAGTATGTCCACAAAGAATTCATTAATGGAGAACATAATTTTCAGTGTAGTGGTGGAGCTTTTAAGAGGTGGGGCCTAACAGRAAGTAATTAAGTCATTGGGAGTGCTGTCTTCTGAAGGAATTAATATAGTACATTTTGGACCCTGATTAGTACTCATGAGAATATCATAAAACAGCAAGCTGGCCTCTGAATCTTTCTCTGGCTTCTAGTCTTGCTATGTGATCTCTCCCCCTGGAACTTGTTCCTGCTGTGATATTATCTGCCACAGTATCATGTGACCAAGGACCTCACCAATGACTGAATCAATGGAGCCAAASAGTCATGGACTTTCAGCTTTCAAAATGTGAGATAACTGAAACTCTTGCTGTACACTACCCAACCTTAGGTATTTTGTCATAGGTATGAAAAATAAACTAATAAGCATACRAATGCACACTTGTGCTTATTACATATAAATATTTGTTAGAATATTATATATGTATATGGGTGTGAGAATATTAAACCGCTTTGTTATTTGTTCTATATGCAATTTTCATTCAGATTCTCATTCAGCTTACACAATATCACTCTAAATCTGGATAAAAGCAGAAGTAAAAGGAATTTTTACTAGACAGTGAGCTAACTATACAGTGTTGAAATAAAATGACTAGTACCTGAAGAATCTCTCAGTAGAAAKGCATTCAGCTCCCCTTACTTGATTTGCAAACATAAATCAAGTGATTTGATCTGTTTCTTATAAAATTCTATATTGGAGAAAAACAAAACTTAAGATAAAACAATTATAACTAGCCTAAAAGACTCAAGTAACTGGGGACATTCCAATAGGATAGACCCAATAAGGCAGTGCTATCAATGTGCCCAAATGAATCATTTACTTTCCTACTGCATTTCTGCTCATAAAGACTTGCTCCTGAAATTTTGTCATGTGAACCCTAAATCTCTTTCAATTTAATATTGCCCAATTYATGAATTGCTTTTTAGTCAAATAAACCCTTTAAAAATTTTATTGTGCCTTAGTAAGATGTGTTAACATGTGGTTGTCATTGTATATACAAAGTGGCTGTGGRTTTACCAGAGCTATAAAACACTCATAGTAAAATAAATCACACTTATTATTAATATTTCACATGTCAAGGTTAAAAAGAGCAACTAAGGGTGATAATATAGATCTTAAAGTCATTCTTAAATCAAAGAAACATCCATCATTTCTATTTTTGGCAAGAATTCACAAAAATCATAGTTCTTTGTTTTAAAATATCTGACTATAAAACTGTTGCGTCATCTGATGAGCATTGCAMTCTTTTTCCATAGCTGATGCTTCCTTTTATTTGAATAACTTCTCATTCATGGTATTGGCCCACTATTGGAGCTTTGTGAAATCATTAAATTGCTGTTCTCAAGATGTCACTGGGCACTACCTGCATCAGTCACCTGGAACATGACTATAGCTACAGAGAGGGGTTTCTGGGTATCTTCAGAGTTGATGAGTCAGAGGCTCTGGCTTGAGCTCTGGTCCCTGCACTGTAAATGAGCTCCCAGAATACAATCACATCTTCATGGGAAAAGTGRTGAGATATCTATCCCTCCAACATTGGCACCTGTCCAAAATATTAATTAAGCTCAGGTGTTGGGTCTCCAAGAAAGGAAGGATGGAATGCCCCAGATAAAAAGATCTCATAGATCTTTTACAGTTACACAAGGTTTCCGAGTTAGCCTAAGCTCCCAATAGCAATAAGAGCATAATTTCTACAAGACATAAATTCTGTATACCAAAGAACAAATTTAGAAATTAGAAAACACTAATGAGAATAATAGCATTTATTGATCACTTAAATGTGTTTATCATTTAATCCTTAAAATAAACTTGAAAGATAATTACCCATGCAAATGTCACAGAGAAGTGAACTGAAATTTAGATATGAACTTCACTTTTTACAAGTTGAAGAAAATTTTTACACTGAAATTGATTGGTGAGTTGCAAATAGATTTTAATTAATCTTATCATGTAAACATAGCTGTCTTAGAAATTTCTGCTTTGATCAATGTTTTCAAATCAAAATTGATGTCCAGAATAATAAGTTTATAAAGCTTTGATCAATCAGACACTATTTTTAAACTGAATTAATTTGGKTTCATTTGAAATACTGTCAACAGTTTGTGAGAATCTTTTGAACTTTGAGATCAAACTTAAATATGTTTTCCAAAAATAAATATGTACTAAAACTATCTTTTGGAAACAGTCCTCCAAGTTCCTCAACACTGTATATAGATAAATTTGATTATTTTGTCGAAACATAATTTTGCCTTAGTTTATGCAGATACAAGTTCTAAAACACATTTTTTAATGTGAAGAAACACACATATCATCAAATAAGTGTTCAAATTTACATTTTCCCTGAAAGTAGAAATGATATTACTAATTATTCTGTGTAAAAATCAGATGGCATTAAGGTTATCTTGTATGAATGACATAATGAAAGATATACATAATTTACGTTTTGAAATATTACTTCCTCTTACCTGCTGGTTTACAGGAAAGTTTCTGTTGATTTTTTTAATCTGAAATGATAAATAACAAATAAATAAATGAGTATAGCAAAGATAATGTAAGATCCCCCAAATTTTATGAGGATTGATATTTAGTATATTAATTATACTAATATTCTATCTAGATGCAATTAAATATGCAATTAAATCATTGCATATGAAACATCAATTTTAATTGACTATCATAATTACTCCAAATTTCATCATGTTAAAAAATATTTAATAGTTTTTTTTATTTATGAAAAATCAAAGCCTGTTTCCAAACTATGTTCAGTGATTGTCTATGAAAGATTGTAGAGAGAAATTTTCTGTATTTTGTAATTTAAAATCATATGCTATTCAATTTATTTTAATAGACAAGGGAATAGACAAAATGGAAATTCAACTCTAGACACAAAAAGTATATTTTGAAATACTTCCAGCCAGGATCTCAACTACTTTAAGACAATTTAATGAACAACATTTTATAAAAAGTTAAATAAATCTTCAGAGGAAGGATTTCTTCATGTGCTATATCGTGGAAATAAACTGGAAACAAAATAAAAATGAATATCACTTTTAGTTAAATGACATAGATGACACGAAGTCTTTTTTCAAACATGCATTTGCTAATAGAAAATCAATTGTCACTTTCCATTTGATTTATATAGAAACAATGCTAAATCTATAGGGTCTACACTCACATCAAACTAAGTACAGACTATTTTCACCTACTTTTTTGTTGTTGTTGTTGACTTACTTGCTACCCCAATCCCTTCCTTTTTCCTTGTCTCCTTTTGTCTTCCTAAGGCAATTCAGTAGAGATGGAAGACATAATTGTGTAACCATCAAATGTCTGATCTGTTACTACAGACCGACTGGCAATATATTTATTATTTAATATATTTAAAAAAAGAAATATTGAAAATGCCCCAGTTTTATGTAGGATTATATACAGAACCCTATCCTTGCTACATGGTACTAATCATTTCAAAGTCCCCACCCCTCCCCCAGCCCATGATGACCTTGCTAAAATTCTCTAAAACTCCTAGCACACCTTGAGCTAAAATCAGAAATTTGGAAATATAAATAGAAAGAATTGATTCTTAAAAGAGATTTTAGTGAATGCTAGTGGAACCATACTTTTTGCTAGTTCTTGTAGCTTGTTATAAAGACTTATAAAGTTCAATTAATATTTTATGTKAACACTTGAGTGTACTATCCTGCTTTTAAATCTTAATTTTTTTTTTAAATCCCCAAACCAAAATTGGTCTGAATAATCATTTCTGGAATCAGTCAGAGTGGTGCACACCTCTAATTCCAGCAACTCCAGGGGCTRAGACAAGAGGATCACAAGGTCAAAGCCGGCTTCAGCAACTTATCTGGGCCCTAAGCAATTTAGCAAGACCCTGTCTCAAAAAATAAAAATAAAAAAAGTACTGGGAATGTGATTCAGTGTTTAAGTGCCCCTGAGTTCAATCCCTGGAATGATAAAAATAAATAATAATCATTTGAGAAATTTGAAAATTGGTAATATAGACAGGCATTGCCAGGCAGATGGCATGGGTAAGTGAAGCGGTTGACCACAGGAATTTTATCCTASTAGGCCACCCTCAGCAGAGTTCCTGCAATTGAAATGTATTACCCAGCAGTGGCCACTGTCTCTTCCAGGCAGAGTATGTCCTAAAAATCAGCCTTATTTACCTGTCTAGAGCTGTTATATTGTGTTTGTTATCKTTGCTTTTGTTTTTGTTATTTTTCTCTAGTAGTGAACTCATAGATAGGAATCTTGCCATCTTTATCCTTAAATAGTTTACAGCACTGGTATTGTATACCATTGTTATTACTAAAAAATATATATATATATATATTTTCTACCAGTTCTTGTGTAGGAGTCATTGAAATGKACAAAATATAAAATACACAGAAAGTTAAATAAAGAACATATTAACATCTAGAGAGGTAKAATGAAAAAGAAGTGAAGTATACCAACAACTTAGAATATTCTAAAAATAACAATAAAGARTRCATAAAATATGTTTGAATAATTATTGTATTATTATAAGAAATTATTTCTAGACTTCTTCTAATATATTAAAGTATACTAATGAGATAATAAAATGTAATAAAGCATTAATGATAGTGAATTATTCAAGAGCTAACATGATTAAAATTGAAAATACTAATAAGTTGTATTCCTCTTATTAAAACAATGCCATCATCACCTTTCAGCTGCACYTTTCATTTTACTCTTTTATTTGTTTATCTTAAGGCAAGGTCTTTTTGTGTTGCCTATGGTGCCTATTCTGGCCTCAAACTCATGCTGCTGCAGTCTCTGTCTCTTGAGCAGCTGGGATTACAGGCCTGCACCACTGCACCCACCCGCAGACAGCCTCTTTATAACTGCTTAATGCCATACTTTTGAACAATTTATAGCATCCCAGGATTCTGAGTAAGTAAAARCATTCAGAGATAATAAGTCAGTACTTTAAAACTGTTACCTGTGTATTAATAAAAATATTTGGAACAGAATGATTTTGTTTTTAAAGTTTTCTTTATAGTTTTAACTACATATTGGAGTAAAATAAKTTATTCATATTTATTCATGCATTAATGAAGATACAAATTTAAATAACCTAATTCTCAGAGAAATGGAAGATGGTAATGCCACTATGGTTCATGATACCATGGCACAGGACAGTTCATCCTGGGGCCCTCATTTTGGCAGCAAGAAAAATGAATACATTCTATTATAATTATTCTTGTAAAATGGTAGATAAAAATAACTATCTGTCCCCAAATTAAATCCATATACACCCAAATAAATTTTAAACATAATTCCATTTTTTCCTATAGCAAGTGGAGTAAAACTGTATAAAATATTCTATTTTCTAATTATTATACCACCATTTTCAAATAAAAGTACAGCTAAATATAGGAAAAGATTGAAAATCCATTGTAAACCCAAAATTTGATAACCTAACCTATTACATTTGATAACCTAACCTATTACAGCTCAGCCCCACAGTACACTGCAGGTTATCACACCCATATCATTAGCTCAGAAAAAGATCAAAAATCAAAATTGGAAGGTATTTTCTACTAAATGCATATTACTATATGCCTTCAAAAAGTTGAAAATCCTAAATAAAGTAATTGCAAGTGGTGAAATATCCTAATGTTCATCAATTAGATAGTATATCTTTTTTACATTGATAATTCTGAATTATAGATGAATTCTTGATATAGAAAATACTAGCAATAATTTTTTGAAAAGCACCTGTTTTTATTATCATAACAATATCAAGAAGATAGCTTAAMCTTAAAAAAATAAAAATGTTGAAAATATTTGACTTCAATTTCAATTTATTTTTAAAATGCCATTATTCATATTATTGATATAGTGTTAAGATAATTACATAGTAAAATATATACATACTATATCATTAAAATAAAATTTATTTATAAAATAAAGTTACAAAAATTGCTGTTTTGGGAAACAACTTATTCTAAATTATGGAAATTCCAAATCATCTGTGTCATTTTAAGGTTTCTCTTCAAATAAGAAAAATTAAASTTTTCCCAACAATTTTTTTTTCACCTTCTTGGAAACTCATATGATAATTATGTGGCATCTGGAACCAAAAAATTATATTATAAATCACTAAAAAATTAACATAATCTAAAATAAAATAAAGGTAGTGTCTGAAAAAACATTTGTAGAAAAGAAAGGACAAAATTTCAGTTCATACTATAAAACCAATTGCTTATAGAGCATGATATGTAAGCTATTAATTCTCAGACTTTCAAAGCAGAAAAAAATGGTGCACCCTGAGATTACCAAACATGTCATTCTACAAAAAAAGCATGCAATATAAAATACTACWTAGTAGAATAGATTTAGATGAATGGAAGCCATGTTAATTGAGGCTGTTAGTCCAAAACAGAAGATAAGCCCATAAATTACACATTTATCTCTACTTGATTTCTTGGAAGACCATCATCACTTACTACCAGCTTATATATATGTATATGTACGTATATATATATATATATATATATATATATATATATATATGTCTCAGATAGTAGACAAAGTCTCTGTCGATAAAAATTCCATATCTGTGACTCCAGTGTCCATGTCTGCCTAATGAAACCCTTGTTTCCCAAACACATGTTCCACACTTCACACTGGATGAGAATGTTTCCAGTTCCAAGCACACTAAGTTATCTAGAGAGGTCAGAGTGACTCACAGGTGGACTAGCGCCCGCCCACTGAGGCCAATGTCTGTCCAGCACAACACAGTAGAGGACCACTCTAAGCGGGGAATCACAGCACTTTAGACTTCAGAACCAAGGTAGGTTCTGGATCACAAAAAAAAGTAATTTTTTCTTTAATATGCATACTGATGCATTAACTTTCTAGTACTAAAGCAAACCTTAGCAATTATCTTTCCTATCAAACTATGTTTACACTAAATCCTAGAGGACCACCATTGTTCAGATGTGTGCCRGGCATTTCTGGGACAGCAATATTTTTTGTTTTTCCTTCTCCCAACAGTCACCTTGAATAAGAGGGTCATATCACAGAACTGTTTTATTTTGAGGCATAACGTTTAAATGGTTACTGATAAAAACAATAATTTTATTCTGGAGGCAATGTCTCTTTTGTCTATCTTTAGTTTATTTATAGCTATAGCAATTACTTTGACATTTGCATGGCTCTTTTTATGTGAACTCACTGAAGATAGAGCTTATCTTGTTCCTCAGAATTTCTTATTTCCTTGGTGACCACGATTCCTTCTTAAACATAATTACATGAAGCAAGCATGTACATTTTGAACAATTTGTATATTGTGTACTACTTTGGAAAATTTTTTTCATATATGAATCACTCCCTTAAAAGAAGACCATTCCTTCTTTTTCTTACATAGATCAGATTTGAATTATATTTTGTCAAAACATATTGGCTACTCTGAATAGTGCTGATTTAAGCTAAAACTGGTAAACACAATTAATGCCCATGTAGAGAT